AAATATACCTGGTGTTATAAATAACCTTCCCTTTATAGTCAAAGAAGCCCTTAATTTTTTTTTTTAATTCTGTTCTAGTTTTTTCCTTCAAAGAAGCAGCATCGGCAAGGTAAACCATTGGTTTATTATAGAATATAGTTGTGTTTGAGCATCTAATGATGCCACTATATTTTGATTGCTTGAAAAGCTTTGACGTTCAAAGAGCTTTTATTTCTCTGAGAAAAAAGTTAAATTAGCTTTATTTTTTTTAAATCTCGCAGATCTTTATATGCTTGGTAGTTTAAGAACTTAAACGTACTGTCTGTGTTTTTATGCTGTATCCTGTATTAAAGCTAAACCTTGAGATTAACATAAGGAGGATGGAATATTCTGGTTAACAAGATTTTTAAGAGTTAGCCAGCATATCTTTTATTTTTGTATGTTCTGTATTAAAATTCTTACAAAGCCATAATAGTCAACTTAATACAGTGTTCTGAATGGAAATGACTGTTTCTTTGACCTCTCTCATACAGGATTATAAATGTGGGAGGTTAGAGTGAGTCTAAACGTGGTCCAGAATATCTCTGCCTGCTACCCAAGGTTTTCTGGTCATTTGCCTACTCAGAAAAGTTGGGTACAAATAATATAGTCATTTAAGTAGTATTTAAAGTAATATTGTGGTTGAGCCTCAGCTTAAATACTGTGAAAAGCAGAATTGTCATATCTATGCATGAAATTTGGGAAGTTTTATAATATGTTTGCTTGATCTGTAAATTGAGTGGTTATATTTTAACCAAATTTTTTCTAAGTCAAGTCAAATGCTCTTTTTTTTTTAAAAGAACCGAGCTCAGGCTGCCATGGAATTCTTACAAGAATTAAATAACGATGTCTCCGGGAGTTTTGTGGAAGAGGTATATATGGTGTATATATGTGCGTGTGTATATATATATATATGTATACATATATATATGTGGAAATGTAATTTTTTAATAATTCAAAGCCCTAAAAATTTAGAATTTTGAGTTTATTTTAGTAATCTCTACACCCAACATGGGGCTTGAACTGGTGACCCTGAGATCAAGAATCTCCTGTTATACTGACTGAGCCAGCCAGGTGCCCCAGCATTTAGAATTTTGAATCTTTGTATATTTAAGAGTTGAATTACTTTAACACTGGAGTCTAACATGTTACCTCATTTGTTCTAAAATAGCTTAACTGTTTCTGCCATGTTTAACATGATTATAAAATTGTTTAATTTTTTTCCTGTGTCCTATTTAGAGTCCAGAAAACCTTCTAGACAACGATCCTTCGTTTTTCTGTAGGTTTACCATTGTGGTTGCAACTCAGCTTCCTGAAAGGTAAATTTTTATGTTAAGTCATTTTTATTTTAGTCTCTTTATTAGATTTGCATAGCTTTGTTTTCTCTGCAAAGACTATAGTTCTTAAAATTCTTCATTTAAAAAAATTTTTAAAGTAATATATTTATTTTAAAGATTTTATTTTATTTATTTTTTTAAAGAGTTTATTTATTTATTTGACAGAGATAGTGAGAGCAGGAACATAAGCAGGGGGAGTGGGAGAGGGAGAAGCAGGCTTCCCTCCAAGCAGGGAGCCCGATGCGGGGCTCAATCCCAGGACCCTGGGATCATGACCTGAGCCGAAGGCAGACGCTTAACAACTCAGCCACCCACACACCCCTAAGGATTTTATTTATTTATTTGAGAGAGAGAAAGAGATAGGGACAGAGAGTTTAGAGTCGGGGAGGGGCAGAGGGAGAAGCCGACTCACTGCTGAGCAGGGAGCCTCATGCAGGACTCAATCCCAGGACCCCAAGATGGTGGCCTGAGCTGAAGGCTGCCACTTAACTGACTGAGCCATTCAGGCGCCCCTCTTTTTTTTTTTTTTTTTTAAAGACTTATTTATTTGAGAGAGAGAGCAGGTGAGGAGGGGCAGAGGGAGAGGAAGAGAGAATCTCAAGAAGACTCCCCACTGAGCATGGAGCCTGGTGTGGTCTCCATCTCACGACACTGAGATCCTGATCTGAGCCAAAATCAAGAGTCAGATGCTTAATCGACTGAGCTACCCAGTACCCCTGTAGTTCTTAAAGTTCTTGAACTCCACAGAAACCTTTAATGGAAGTGCTTATAAGTCTCCAACATCAAAAAGATGGGGAAGAGAAAAATACTGAGATGTGAAACTCTTCTTACTATATTTAGAGCAGTTAAATTAAACATTGGTTATTTTTTAGTTAAAAAAAAAAAACTAGTTAGAATTATAGAGTGTGCTTGGGGGTGTAGATAAGGGTTTTATAAATATTTTCTTCCTTATTATGGAAATGTTTAAGAAGTGTCTTTCAATAACATTCTCCCTAATAGAAAAGGGGAGGCTTTCATGTTCCTCTAGTCCAAGAGATACACTTTCTGTGAGGCTGCAATCTTGTGGAATCCTGTTCAGTGTATCCATGATCTGCTTGTGTAAATGTAGTAGATATATCTTTGCATTTATTACTTAGTAAGAAAGTTGCTTTATTTTAGAGTGTTTTCATGTTTGGCCTATATCCATTTGCTTATGTTCTTATTTATTGTGTTTTCCTTTACAGTACATTACTACGTTTGGCGGATGTCCTTTGGAATTCACAAATACCTCTTTTGATCTGTAGGACATATGGACTAGTTGGTTATATGAGGATCATTATAAAAGAACATCCAGGTAAGTCTGTTGCACCTATGGGGCTTGCCATTGGTTGCTTTAGCTACAGTTTTAGAAACCTGACAATTTAGAAAGTCAATTTTGTTTTTTATTTTTATTTTTTATTTTTTTAAAATTTATTTATTCCACGGAGAGAGATAGAGAGCACAAGCAGGGGGGAGCAGCAGAGGGAGAGGGAGAAGCAGGTTCTCCACTAAGTAGGAATCCTGATGCAGGGCTCGATCCCAGGACCCTGGGATCATGACCTGAGCCGAAGGCAGACACTTACCCGACTGAGCCATCCAGGTGCCCCATAGAAAGTCAATATTAAATTACAAAGTAAATTTTAACAGCACAACTCTGGTTACAGGTTCAGAGTGGCAATCAGAATCAATAGTCATTAATCTAATTTCCTTTACTTAGTGTTAGAGAAGGGTACAAAGCAGGAGATACAACAAGTACAGCTTCTTCATCTTATTAGGAGGCCCAGCAGCAAAACAAGTCCCTAGCTTTTTTTGCCTCTTAACCTACATAGGGCGTTTAGGGCTGCTATAGGTGAGAGCCACGGTATGTGGGTCACAGTGACACATAGACGTCGTACCACCTTTTCTCTACCGATCTTTCATTCCATTCTCATAGAGGCATTAGGCTCCCCCAGTTCAGGTACAGTTCTACACAATAAGCAAGGCATTTACCTAACTACTGCTCCAAGGAAACAGTGTTCTAGGAGACTGAAGTCATACATAGGTAAGCTTGCATCAGCTCAAGGATGATATTAGACCTTTACTTACAAATTTTTTTAAAAAAGATTTTATTTATTTATATATTAGAGAGAGAGAGAGCACACACAGGAGGGGCAGAGCGAGAGAGAGAATCTCAAGCAGATTCCACACTGAGTGGGAGCCCGACGTGAGACTCAGTCTCATGACCCCGAGATCACGACCTAAGCCAGAGCCAAGTGTCGGACGCTGAACTGGCTGTGCCACCCAGGCATGCCCCTACTTAGAAATTTTTAAGCTTAAATCGTCATCCAGTTTTCATTCAGTATTCCTGCATGGCTCTGAGCCAGGGAACTCTGCTAGTGTAGTGATAGCCACTGGTGTTGGTAGTATCACTGGGGAGTAGTATCTGCCTGGGCAGTTAGGGGGTGGCTTCTGGGCATAAGCTCTTAGCAGGTGGTAGTAGGCCCTTTAAGAGTTGTAAGTGGGAGAGTGACAGGGAGAAAATTTTATTTCACATGTGTACCCTGAAGTGGGGTGGAGAATGAATGGGTTTGAAGGGCCAAAGATTGGAGGCAGGGGTTGCTGTTAGGAAATTTCCAGTGGTGTAACTAGGTGAGAGAGACAGAGACCGAGCCCCTGACCTAAGGCATTTACAAGGATAGGGAAGAGGGGGTAAATAATAATGAGGGTTAACGTTGCTGGCTGTGTTCCTGCCTTAATGTGGATTATTTCATGTAATCTTTCCAAAATCCTTATAAGGTAGATACTGTTATGTCTACTTAACCATCAGATTTCTAGGGAAGAGGTCTAGGTAGATGGTGATGATGTCTATTAAAGACCATAGGAGGGGAAAGGTAGATTGTTAAGTACTATCTGAACACATATTTTATCAATTTTGATCTTTTAAAATTATAATAGCAAGAAAATTCAGCTCTAGAGGAATTTTGAGTTTACTCTTATTAAAACTATAGTCCACTTACGATTTGTGCATTTAGAAAAATGTAAATATGTGTATATAAATTTATCTCAATCATGAACAGAAAAGGGGTGCCTGGCGGGCTCAGTTGGTGGAGCAGTGACTCTTGACCTTGGGGTTGTGAGTTCGAGCCCCACATAGGGTGTGGAGCTTACTTTAAAAAATTAAAAAATAAAATCAATTCCTTGGGTAAAAAAAAAAACAAAAAAAAAAAAAACAGAAAAAAAACCTTTAGGTCCTATGCCCATTTAGAAATTATAGATTTCTTTTTTTTCATGATCTGTGATTTTGTTTTTAATTATCTTAAGCCTTATCACATAATTTACAAACTTGTGCTGATGATATATCTTCTCATTTTTAACCCTTCTAACTAGTTGGCAAAAGCACCATTACCAGTCATACCTATATGGTAATTCCACAGTTGTGTCTGTTTAGAAGACAATCCTGAATTATAACTTAGTCTGACTTAGCGAAGAATCCACAAGCCAAATCTGCTGCTATATCTTGTCACACAGAATTTTAAAAGCATCTGACCTTATAGATCATCTATAAAATGTGAGAAGTGTTAAATAGTCTTTATTTAATATTGTACATAAACCACACGAAAATGCCTTTCATTAAGCAAAAGGCAACATTTTAGATGCAGGGAATTTTAATTAAATTGGCATAGTTAAGACAAAAAGGTAAAGTGGACACTGCCAGCTTATCTTCAGCCCTTGCCTTTAACAGGCTAACAAACACAACTTGAAACACAGCTGAGTCTTGCTGTTCTATGAGACGGTGAAGGGATTTCCTCAGTATTTAAATATATTAGTATAACCAGTTACATAAGTCTAAATATAAAACTAATCTTCTATAAGTTTAGAGATGGCATTTACCGTCTCTGTGAAAAGCTGACCATTACTAATCAATTGTAATCGAATCTCTGGAAGGGGAAAACAGTGACAGCACTTGCTGAACCAGAATTACAATCAAAGTTCAAAAAGCTGATCCTATTCATTTAACCACGAGCCCATCTTATTTAAATCAGGACTGTCCAAAAGAAATATTCTATCAGCCATTCATGATCCAATTCTGGTGTATGAGATCAATTTCAATATGGTACACATAAGAAAAAGTCAAGACATTTTTGTTTTGTAATAAATAAGGCAGTGGCCAACTATTACTCCTTAGTAGCCCTTTTTGAGATAAGCTGTCAAGTCTGCTCTTTCTCCTGTCTTCTTAATGCCAGCAAAGATCATTTTTGTTCCAGGGATGTACTTCTTGGGATTCTCCAAATACTCCATCAGTGTCTCCTCTCCCCAGGCGATGTCTTTGTTCTTGTTGTTATCGTGTAAGAAAATCCAGGGGCCTGACCTGTCTTTCGACCAAATAAACCATGGAGATTTGGGCCAATCTTGTGCTTGCCTCCCTTTTCCACGGTATGGCGCTGGGCACACTTCTGAACAAAAATCTTCTTGCCCTTCTCAACGTCACCCATTTTTAAGTTGCTCTTTTGTCACGCCCAAAACGAATCTGCCTGCTCGCAAGCCGGATGTCCCACTCTCTCAGAAATTATAGATTTCTTAAGTCCCTATAATGTAATGTATTCCAGAAGTATCACTAAAGAAGTCCATGTTTTGGGATTATTTGTTTCACAGTAATAGAATCTCATCCAGATAATGCATTAGAGGATCTACGACTGGATAAGCCATTTCCTGAACTGAGAGAACATTTTCAATCTTATGATTTGGATCATATGGAAAAAAAGGTTGGTAGTATGTATGACCTTCCATTTACAGATAGATTAAAAGATTTTTTTTTAACCTAAGGTTTTTGAATTACACCATAGTGAGAAAATATTATAAACATCCATATTCTTGTCCTCCAGATTACATAGTAACAACATTGTACTTAATTTGTTTGAAATAAATTTGTTTTCCACCAAAATTTGGAAAGCTTTTTTTTTTTTGAAGAGAAGTTCATTAACTGAACATATCTGTGTGATCAGTACCCACATCAAGAAATTGGACAGTAACATCCCAGCAGCCTTCTTCATGACCCTTTTGTAAATAATTAGATGTACTTTTTAAAATAGTGTGAATTTGGGGTGGATGTTTGTTGAAATTAATTCCTCTTGAAAGTTATTTTTAGTGTTTGAAGAGTTACCAAAGCATCTCCATATTTCATTATAGAAATAATGATAGTTATAATAGACTATGTAACTTAGGGAGTATGTGGTTTTTTTCCTACCCATGTATTAATTAAAATGCAGGTATTTGACCAGAAAACAGAGTTTTCTCAGCCTAGGATTGGTATCTGAAATCAAGAGATTTGAGCTTTCTCTTCAGGTGGCAATCTCTGAGACTCTTTTCTTGTTGGTAAAATGGGGACAATCTTAGTACAAACCTGCCATATTAGGACTAAATTGGATATTGCTTCTAAAAAAAGTTTGTAAAGCCATTTTCATTAACCCAGTTCATTTCCCTCCATTCACTATACTACATATAGTGGGAGGTGATCATAATTACTGTTGGATTTGTTGAAAATGAGATGATGTGATAAAGAATAAATGTAAACTAATTAATGTTAACTAATGCTGACATTTTCTTTGATTTTTCTTTCGTTTTTAGGACCATAGCCATACTCCATGGATTGTGATTGTAGCTAAATATTTAGCACAGTGGTATAGTGAAGTACGTCCTTTTTTAAAAACACAAATTCCATATATGACTGTATTTTCAATTTATTATAAAGGATTTCATTGGAGGAAAGTGGGAGATTAATTCTTTTCTTTATGTGGTTATAGAGGAGGTGGGTGCTTTTTTGTTTAAATCTGGCAGTTCCTCTTTTGATACTGATATTTTTATTAACAAAATTAAATATCAGTAAATGTCATTCTGAAACTGGCAGTGGGGAATGAATGTAGAGAAATGGCCCACAGTTTTTGTTTTCTTTCAAGTCAGCCTCTGATTTCACTGAGGTATTTGCTGATGAAATCACACGTGGATGGGAGAATGGGGGAAACTTGGGACTCTCAATTTCCATGTTTTGATTTTTTATAACTAGAATTTAAAAATTTCTAACCAATTTAGACAAATGGACGAATACCTAAAACGTATAAAGAAAAGGAAGACTTCAGAGATTTGATTAGACAAGGTAATATGATGGGATACAATTGAATGTTGTATAAAGTTTGAAAAGCAAATTGCTTGAAGCTGTTTATTGGATTTCTGTCAGCTGCTTTGTCAGACAATGCCATCATGAGCTTGTGTTTTATTTTTTCTCAGGGGAGGTTTAGGAGCCACTCATATAGTTTTTTAAATAACTAATGATAGTTTCCTCATCTGTGAATGAGGAACTGGGGGCTGCTGATAACTACCTTGTGGGTTGTTGTGAGGATTCATTCATACAAGAAAATGTGAAGTACACTTAGTAGTGTCTGATACAAAGTAAAAGCTTAACAAAGGTTAGCTGCTAATATTAATAAAAAAATGACTAATGGTACGCCTGTTTCTTCTTAAGTTTCAGTATCCAATCCTCCCTTTTAAGATCTGATGAGGTTATTTCCATAATGTTAGGGAGAGCAAAGGGGTGAGAAGAAAAGGGCTATTTTTTGCTAACCAATTTCTATTTTACTAGGAATTCTAAAGAATGAAAACGGGGCTCCGGAAGATGAAGAGAATTTTGAAGAAGCTATTAAAAATGTGAACACAGCACTAAATACAACTCAGGTATTAAAAGTGTTGCTGAGGAATTCATACGAGAAAGGTGTTTTTTGAAGTCCCCATGTGAAATAGTTGATTTTATATATATATTTTTTAAACATTTATTTATTTTAGAGAAGGAGTAAGAGAGAGAACATGTGTGCATGTGTGCATGATTTGGCAGGGGCAGAGGGAGAGGGAGAGAATCCCAAGCAGACTCCCAGCTGAGTGCAGAGCCCGATGTTGGGCTCCATCCCACCACCCTGAGATCATGACCTAAGCTGAAATCACAAGTCAAGTGCTTAATTGAGCCACCGGGTGCCCTTATTTTAGATTTAAGTTAGTATTTCCTAAACTGTAAAGTTGTTAGAAATTAATATCTATAATATGGACTAAATCTTGTTTTAATAAGACTGTATTGTCCTTGTTAAAGTAGTTATCACAGTGCTTCAGCATATACTAGTGATATAATGATTTATATACATTATTTGAAGTACATGATTTGTGAATAGTAACAGTTTGGGTGTAGGAAATATATAATGAGGGTGATATTTTGCTGGCCCAAAATAGTGTTGCCTGAAAGTTAAATCTTACCCTGTGTTTGCTTTTGACAGTAGTTGTTTGGATATAATGGAAGACGTTCTTAATGACATTGTAAAACATTATTTGGAGGATAACTCCGTTTAGATGCCCTTTGTTTTGTTGTTAAGGTCTTGCCAGTGAGGTTTTTGGGAAATTTGGAATAACACAACTGGTATTTTAAGTTAAGAATTTACTTATAATTTAAAATGGCAAAAAATGCCGTCTTTCACATTAGGAAAGCACTTAAGCTGTCATTACAAACTTTTTGGAGACAATGAGGTAATATTGCTGAGTAATTAAAAGTGTGTGCTTTATCAATCAGTTTTCTGGGGTGATGATAATTTTCTATGTCGTAATTGAGATGATGGTTAAAAGGACATGCAGAGTAATCAAAATGCATCGAACTGTACATTTAAGATTCATTTCACTGAATGTAAAATTTACCCCGATTAAAAAAAACTCAAGGTTTTCATAGTTAGGTTCTGTATGGTGAACCAAGCAGATAGATAAATGCACTAGGTGCTATGAACAAAATTTGAGCAGAACAGAGGGGTAGAACATGATGAGGATGAGGAGTTCTAGGATCGGGAGGGGGCCATTCAAGCGTTTTTAGCAGGGAGTGGAGTGACGTGATGTATATTTCTAAAAAATCATTCTGGTTCTTGTGAGAAGAATAGACTGTAGGGGACTGGGAGCAGAAACAGAGAGACCAGTTACGAAGTTACCAATAAGAAATTTCTTTTTTCCACACAGCTGTAGAATCAAAGCCTATAATTTCAATAGTTGTTATTAATGTATGATGATTTTTGCCAGCATTAAAAGTACTTAATTTATCTAATTTTTGCCAGAGTTGTTGTCTCTTCCAGTAGTTCCTGATTTAGGGTGTAAGGGTTTCACATTTTTGACAAGCTGGAAACACATGGACTACAAATCTAGCTTGCTAGTAATATCTGAAATCTTTGTTATATCTTCAGATTTAACTATATCAAAAGATTTACTGTAGCTCCCTTTTTAATCCATGTATGATGGAAGAGAACTGGTCATCCTTTAATGCTGCCACCAGTGGGCAGGAGGGGACTTCCTTCCATTCTCTCTTTCCTCATCAAATCTCTATCTGGTACTGATTCTTAATAAAAGTCTAATAATAAGCACAGTGGCAGCCGGGTGGGTCAGTCAATTAAGCATCTACCTTCGGCTCAGGTCATGACCCCAGAGTCCTGGGATTGAGCCCCGAGTGGGAGTCTGCTTCTCCCTCTCCCTCTTTCCCCCTCACCACTTGTGTGCACAAGTGCTCCCACTCTCTCTCTCTCAAATAAATAAAATCTTTACAAAAAAAGTCTAAGCACATCAGAAGTTTGTATTTGATTACAGTGTAGGAATTAAAAGAATTTGGGGAAAGAGTGGAAATGCAGATGGGCACATTCTTAGTATAAGTAAATGTTTTGTGTTCCTTTGTTAGATCCCAAGCAGTATTGAAGATATATTTAATGATGATCACTGCATAAATATCACCAAACAGGTAACAACCAAAAGTAAATAGTGCCATCTTAACCTTTGGGTCAAATTCAGATGCCATTTAATACTAATTTTTTTTCTTACTCTTTTAGACTCCATCATTTTGGATTTTAGCTCGTGCCTTAAAGGAATTTGTGGCCAAAGAGGGTCAGGGAAATTTACCTGTTCGAGGCACAATTCCTGATATGATCGCAGATTCAAGCAAATATATAAAGCTGCAAAATGTGTAAGTCACTGTTTTCAAACTATGTTACCAAAAAATTAACCTGTTTATAGTACAGATGAACATATTTTACCACTCTATCAGAAATCAAATGCAAATCTGTTAAACAGTTTTTAAAAATAAGCTAAAAAAACTTAGGAGCAGACTTTTTAAAATAGATTTTATTTTTTAGAATAGTTTTAGGTTTATAGCAAAATTGAGCAGAAGGTACAGAGAGTCCCATCTACTGACTAGGGGGCAGATTTTTTCTTTCATCTTTCATGATAAAAACCTAATATTTGAGCATTTACCTCTGTGCTATGAACTGCTCTATGTATTAACTAATTTAATGTTTACAACAACCCCATGAGAGAGATACTATTATTGTCCCAGTTTTACAGATGAGGAAACTGAAACATAGAAAAGGTAATTTATTCAGAGTCAGATAGCTGGGAAATAGCAGAGTCAGGATTCGAACCCATGAAACCCAGCTCTATACTCTTTTTTTTTTTTTAAGATTTATTATTTTTAGGGAGAGAGAGAAAGAGAGAGCGAGCACGGAGGGTAGG